TTACAGCTGCCTTTTTATGCATCATTGTTCTTCTTTCTCTACACCTGTGACTTGCAGCTACGAATGAGATAATTTGCAGAAACTATTAAAACTCCTCTTGTCCTGGCTATGGAGGGAAGAAGAATAGTGGGTGTACTGGCATTAGCTTGGCAGCAACTTCTTTGTTGATGCATGTCTTCTCCCTTGCTTGCTGCCTTTGCAGCTGGTTTTTCGTTGAATTGAATGTGACTGGTAAGATTTTGCCATTAAAATAAATAATCAATTCCATGTTAAATGAGAATGAGTCCAAGCTATTGGGTTCAGAACTGATTAGAATTGTTTATAAATGCTCTAACAGCTCTGTTATCAAAATCCATACATAATGCAGGCATGTATGCATAAGTTGTACTTTGGACTGGTGAGGTTGGCTTTTAGTTGCAGTTGTTAATCAAGCAGAACTACCATTTAAAAAAAGGATTAACAGCTGGGAGGTTTGAAGCACCTACACCTCTAAGTGTGTCCTACGTAGTCTGTCTCCCAGCCATATCTCTCCAGTACATTGCAGTGTGATGAGGCTTACAACATGCACACAGATTGCCTTGTTACAGCTTCTGCCAACTCAGCCTTTAATGTGCCTGGTCTGTCCCTCTGTAGTCCTTTCTGATGTGGACTCTGATGCTCACATGACTTGTGGTGCTATGCTCAGGGTGCCTCAAGGACTTGAAAATACCTGCACATGTCTAAGACAGAGATGGTGTGTTGCAGCAAGGCAGTTTTTGACAGCTTCAGTGGTAGTCTTACCCTAAAAGGTTACTTTCCAAGCTCCCTCTCTTCCCCCATCCCTAGTTCCAGCCTCAAGATGAATCCGATAATTCAGTTAGTTATTGTTTTACTGATTAATCTGAGTGCAACTAGTAGTTGCAAAATTGATCAGTTTGCAGACTTGGCTCTGGCAAGGATAGGATTTCTGCTCAGACCCTATCTTGGGTATCTCAGAATAGCTCTATCGCATGGCTTGGCATCTGATCCAAAGTGTAGGAGATCCAAGTTCTAAGTTCTTGCTTTGTATGAATTTGGAGTAGGGCATGGGATGTTAGTTTCTTATATCCCTATGAGTGCGTGCATCAAGTCTTCAGTTGTTCTCTTTCTGATTTCACACAATGTATATTTGTTTTCTATAATTTAGAAAGAGAGACTGATACCCTACATATCCTACTATTTTTGATTTTTGATTTTTTTGATTTTTGAATTTGTGGGTTTTGGCTCATAAGTAGCCACGAAATTCAGACTTGATAACCTGTGCTAAATCGGACTCCTTGCTTCTAGCCCATCTTTAGTTAATCCCGTGGCCAGCAGGGATCTGATATGAAGGCTGTCTATAACAGCATTTAAGATAATACAGATTAAATATTAATCAAGTTAACAATAAAAAAGTCAGGACATCTTTGGTGTTTATATAAACATTTTACTCCTGGTGGAAAAAAACGAGTTTTCACAAATAATAGATGTCTGAAGATCACTTCATCTTACAAGAAAATTATATACCCAGTAAAAGTAGAAAACAAAGGTTTCCTGTACAGAAACAGACTACCTCAGCAACCCAGTAAAATATGAATGTGAAAGCTCTTTCAGCTTTCCCAAGGAGAATGTGCCTCAAGGTGTCTCAAAAAATTGTATTGGATGCTGGAGCTCACATGAAATTCTGTATGTGTGTGTATTTTGAGTCCAATTAAGAAGTGAACAAATGCACATAACACAATACAAAACTGTGCAGTATGGCTTCATGATAATCTTTTGACTTGTCAAGGAATATATGGGCAGTGGAGGCCTTTCATGTGCTCTCTGTCAGTTCTCCCATCCCTCATTCTCCTAGACTCTTCTTGTCTAGGAAGATTAAAAGACATTGTACTTCATAATTCTTAAACCCCAGCTATTTGGGATTATCTGTAAGGATATAAAAAAATCACTGTTTGGAGATGTAATTGTTAGAAAGACAAAAACAATCAGAGAGAGATATGAAGAAAGGGGACTCAATAAGTACCCCTGGAAAACAGAAAGATTGAATTTGTTTCCTTACAAGTGAGTTTGGAGAGTGAGTCGCAGGATATGAATACAGCACTGGGAACGTTCCCGGATCTTTTCCACAATCTTTTTAATGTGGTCACAGATTCCTGACTGCGAGTGAAAATAAATTAGAATTAACTTCAGTGAGTGTCGAAAACATGGAGACTTTTAAATTTGTTTGGAAAAAGCATCAGGGCATGCTATGATTTTTTTTTTTTTTTTTTGTCTGTACTAATTAGTGATGACAAAGCATCAAGATGGCAACGAATGAATCATTTAGATATTCATGAAACAACATATTTTAGTGTCGCTAACATGTGGCTTTGGGGAATTCTTGAAGTAATAGAATAAGGATCCAAGGAGTATCTTTGATGAAACAGATTTGTTTGAAGAAGACAGTTACTCTTAATACAATTTCTTTTCTGATTAAAACGAATAGCCAAACTACTCCTGTTGCTTCTTGAAAACTGTCAGGTATGTTAGCAATACATAATGGCTTGTATTATCAAAATAATCAGGTTGAATGACCTTTGTACTAAACCATGGAGCACCTTTGCATTCACATATAAAGTTAAATTTGATGTGAGTCACAGCCACATATGTCTAGGAGGTAAGCTAAACCCGAGTGATTAGGAACAGGCATCCAAAGGTTGTGCATTTTATGTTAAAAAGTTGTAATCAGAGAATTTCTTTTTTGAACTCAGTAGGAACCCAGTAAATTTTCGAAGCTTTTGAAGAACTAAATTCAAAGAAGACAGATTCTTCATATGATCCAAAACTAATAAAAATTTTGCTTTATTTACTTACCCAATTGCACCTTAGTTGCTGGAATTCATAGATTCAATTTCAGTAAATTTCCGGACTTGTAAGATTTTGGATTGAAATCACATAGCATCTGAATTAAATTGTAGAGCCAAACAGTATTTCTTAAAATTGAACTATCTTTTATTTTACTTCAGCATGTACATTCTTGATACTGCATGTAATTAATTTTTGCTCGAGAAAACTGATGGCAGCTTTTAAAATCCAAAACACAGCACTATGCTAGCTACTATGAAGAAAATTAACTCTATCCCAGCCGAAACCAGGACATGCAGGTACTTTAAATTGTCATGTTAGTTATTGACAATTTACTGAATAATTTGAAAAAAAAGCTTTGAAAAGAAAAGTATATTAACAAAGCTACTAGACCCTTTGCTAGAATACTTGGACCTCCTGCTCAGCTTTGTACCACAGGTTCTTACAGGGTTTTTTGGGGGGTAGGGCAGAGGACTTGGAGTTGCGGTTGAGAAAGCTTATGCTATTGAGACTCTCTTAGTGTTTAATACTTTTACTTCTCTAAAAAATCCTCTGCTTCTGGAATGTGCAAGAGTCTTGGCCTGAACTTACGGAGAGTAGATGAAAAAGGTGGGACCTGAAAGCTAAAAGACAAGAAAGCAAATAAATCATCCCTCAAATCCCTTCTTTAGGGATGAAGACCCACATTGTTTCCCATCTCATGCACTTCTGAAGTATCTCTCCAGCTCTGCCTTAGCCTGCTAGATGCAGGCTTGTTTCTTGCTGAAGCTGTGTCATCTAGCAGGACTCCACACCCAAAATACCCCAGCTGGGATTATACAAATTATACAACAGCTGCTTTTATGTGAGACAACTTCACATTGTTTCCATTATTTAAAAAGCTAGTGGAGGTTTTTAAAGCAAACTTATCTTTCTGTGGAGGTCTGATTTGTGAACCTTGTGACTTTGGTTCTGGTATTCTTTAGTTATTTTAACATACTGAGGCCAGAGGTGGCCATTGGATGGTATAGTTGTTTTAGAGGACAGTGATGCTCACTCTTTATGTCACTCTGGAAGAAAACATTAGATCTGGGGAAACCTTCTTACCATTCATCATCATCTGATACCTGTGGCAAGCGTGGAGATTGTTTATGTGGAAAAGTAATTTTAAGAATATGCATTGCTATTAAAAGCTGAAACCAGACTGAACTTTGGAGATAGAAACAAAGAATAGAGCCTGGCCCAGGTGATGACCAACCTCTTGTTTTCTGGACCACTAGCTCTCTGCAGAGTATAGTGCTGGAAACTCTCTGTAAATGATCTATCTTGGTAGAAGAGTTTTTTTAGGAGTTTGAAAATGTCTTGTGGCTATCTGGAGCTTTCAGGTAGCATTGGAGTGTTATCCTGTAACTGTCTTCAGTTATTTCCGCAGCTGAAGAAATAAGTTTGAATCTCTTCAAATGGAAACTTAGGCATTCATACTGCTTTGTGTATTGTTATGCATTTCAAGGAAATTTTGCAGAGGGACAGTTTGCAAAAATAAAATGTTAATTGTTTGTGTGAATTCATCTGCATGCTGTGATGGCAACTGTAGGGTTGTAGTGTGGATTTAAAGCTGATTGTTACTGGTTAATCCAGGTGGATGAGAGCCCCCGAATGTCCCAGCTGTGGAAAAAAACTTCACTGAAAGCGTACAGGTTCTTACATGCTTTGATCATATTTCAGTCATTTTGAAATAGATTCGAAAGATTTGTTCTTGTGCACATGGAGCTGTTTGTTTTCTTTCTATACTTATAATTCAAAAATATGAAATTTAAAAGGGTTTATTTTAGAAAGTAGGGCATTCTTCAAGCAAATATTTTTTGAGAAAGTTGTCTATTGACTTTGAGACTGCGCTGACATTGAGCAGCTGACAGGGAAATGACAGCGCCAATGTTACTGGTCTGCAACATGTGCCTCCATGAACTCTTTATGGGAGACTCTTCTCTTATGATCAGTCTGTTGTGGGGGAAAGGCTCAGTTCCTCAGGCTGTAAAACACTGTAAAGTGAGTAGAGCAGACTGGACGATCAGAATATTGGGTTTGGAAAAATTGCCATTTTTACATAAATGATGCACTAAAATAAGGACATGGTCATGCCTGGCCTCTAATATCTGCATCTCTAAAAATCTTTTTGTTAGAACTTGCAAGAATCATGCTGGGAGAAGGCAGGCTACTTCTTTGATCTTCCGGATTTCTTATCTTGGAAAGCCACAGGTGTCACTGCAAGGTATGTTAATTATAATGATACGATTTTGTCATCTTCGTCTATTTTCTTATGTATGTTTCTGCTTTAATTCATTTTGACTGGACATGCTGTAATTGAGCCTGCTCCAAAACATCTTGAACCTATCTCCTGCTTCCATTGTGCATTCCTGAACTCAGTTGTTCCTGCGAGCAGTGTAATTCAGAAATACAGTATGTTGCTACAACTGTCAGTTAATTGGTCTTGTGCTCCATTTTGGAACATAAATATGATTGCTCTAATTACTGTGAAATATGCTTCTAACAATTCCTTGAAACCTGTTTTTGTTGACAAATGTATTGACTTTGAGAATTTGAAGAAAACTTTTTTGCCATGTGGAGGAGGGATCTGGTAAAATCTTGTTTAAACTGGTCACTTCACTGTAAAACACAGCAGCTGTATTGCTCCCCAAAAGCATACTAGAATACTTGCTGAGCAGTTTAAGAAAACCCCTTTAAAATCTTGATTAAAGTGACCAGTACAAGTGAAGTACATTTGCAGTTAAACTAGTCCCTGTGAAAAGTGTTACTTAGTATAGTGTTACTTATCTTAAAAAAAGTCTTGCGGACAAATTCCATGCCCAGCTCAGTGCAGTTCAGTTTTTTGCGTTGCAGTTTGTGGAATTGAATCTGAATAGTTCTAGTCTCTCTGGAAATTGAAGATACCTTAACATCAGACACGGTTCTTTTTATTTGAGTGCTTTCTTTCTCTTTATTTAGTCTCTGTGATTGACAGCTATTGTTAAATATCTTGTATTATAAAGCAGGAAAGTGCTAGATGATAATTGAAAGATAGGATCTCAAATCTTCCTTCCTTTGGACTTTCAGTCAGAGTCCACTGTATGCTGTATAACTATGAACTATGTAACAGAAGAACAACTCTCACCCAAAAGATCTTGCAATCTAAGCAGTCCTGTCACCTGACTCAACTCTAACTTCAAGAGGATAAATTCCAAGCTCCCAGAGGATGTGCCATGCAAGGCCCCCATCTTGTGAAAGCACTCAAGACTTTGATGTAGAACTAGCACCCTTTGGTCAGGGGACTAGATGGAGAAAGGTGACTGCTTTGTTCCCATAAACTGTACAAGGGTGCAACAGATCAAGTGCTCCTCAAATTTAGGCACAGTCACGTGTGGGAAAAGTAGCCAGCTGTCCTGAAAAGAACCTTTTTGAGGTGGTTGGGGGATATGATGATCCATAAAATAAATGTCAGTTTATTGCATTAGAGATTCTTGCAATTTGTCTACTAGTAGTTCTGTTTAATAGGAGGGGCTGTCTTTGCTCTACCCTTCTTATTTGGTTAGGTTCAGAATTCAGTTCCAAACACAGTTTTAATTTGGCTTTGTGGCCAGATGATGATTATTAGATGGGATAAAATGTGTGAGCAAATCATGCTCACCTTGTGCTAGTGGCTGAAGAAGCTAAAATAGAATACGGTCCAGGTAAGCTTGGAGTCAAATATTATTTGGAATTTATTTTTAAAGGAAGGGAAACAGTTTCAGAGAGAATGGTGATATATTTGAAAGAGAATTCTTACCTTGCTTGAGCAGAGGGATATCCAGCACTGATGAACAGAGTTCCTGCTCTTCACGGATCTTCCTTGATCCATAGTATGTTCTTTATTTTAATAGTGTCAGCCATACTGTATAAAAGAAAACCCTCTCTCTGCCCTTCCGTCTCTCCATCTCTCTTAACCTCCAACCTAGTGTAGCTTGTGGGAGCAGATGGAAAACAACAGCAATGCCTTCCTGCAGACTTAAAAATGTTACTGTTGTTATGACTAAATCTTTACCTGTTGGGTGAAATATAGGAGTTACGCTAGCTATGCAGCTATCCAAGTTGCAGAATTAATGGATTGATGCTAACAACTGATCCTGCAATAGTGGGGAATCTGGATGGAAACTAATAGAACAGCATGCTTAGTACAGTAAAGCTTTTCATCATCTTCCTTCTACTTGTTCCCAAAAATTCCTATTTTGTTGTTTTGGTTTTTTTTTTTTTCCACAAAACTCTTGCTAGAGGTTACACCATGCCTGGTATTCACTATTCCAACATAGTATTTGTCCATCTGCTCACTGCATGTGCCTGTCAGTGGTTGTAATTTCTGTGAGGTCTTTGGGGAAGGGAGGTGTTTTCTTGGGTGTGTTGTTAGTGCCCAGCACTGTAGGACCTAATTCCTCCTGAGAACGTCTGTTGCAATAAATATTACTAGTAACAGTGAAAGAGCAAACAGATCTTGTGAACTAAATGATTGAATTCTCTAGTGCTCCTCTAACCTGTACAGGAGTACAGTCTGAATTCCTGAGATTAAAATTTTCGGCCTCCTCTGCAACCTTTGTATGTAACCAAAATGTATGGCAGGAGGTTTAAAAGGGAGTTAGGAGAGGGTATATAGGAGCTGAGAGTATCGTAACAGAGTTCCTGTCTACTGTCACTCATGGATGCCTTAATTTAGGAGGCAGTGTTATTTGTGGCTGTGGGGAAGGGGAAGAGAAGTATGGGGTATGAGTAATGCTGTGGACTTAGTGTAGTGGTGCTGTCAGCTGGTGTCAGGCTGTCATGGCTTGTAGTGGACTTCAGGACTGTCTAAACTCAGTGACTCAGGTTTTGCTTTGGAAGGAGGTCTGAAAAAGGAGGATACAGTGGTAATGACAGCTCCTTGGACCTGCCTGGCTTTGGCTTTGTGTTCTTAGCTGTAACTTTCTGGAGGTGAGGCAGAGAATCTCTCTTAAGAAAAAAGTCTTCCCCCACCCTTTGATTGAGAGTCTTCTGTTTTAGATAAAATAGTTCCTTGTGCATCCTCCTTTGCTGTCTTAATGTGCTCCCCCAAATTATGCCCATTGTTTTGGCTCTAGTGGAATGTCTTATAGGGTAAAGAAGGAGGAAGAAAAAGGAAAATAAGGACAAGAAATGTTTTGTTGGAATCAAACCTAATTTTTTTCCTTCTTCTGCTCTCCCCTGTGCACACCTGTTTCTTGGAAATTCCCTTGTAGTTTGGTGAAGTAAAGTAATTTGTCCTGCAAATGCTCGTAATACTAGGGAAGTTTGAACTTACCGAGTGTAAGAGTCTTACCACCTTTTCTCCCTTTGAGCACAAAGGAGCCTATTCACAGGGCAAGACACAGTGTTAGTCATTGTGAATCATACATAACTTGGCCCTGATAAAAGAAAGGTTTATTTTTTTAAAATTTGTTTTGGTGATGGGGATTTTACCAAAATAAATGAAATTCCAAGGGTGCTTTCGTAGGAAAGGCTTCTGCATGCATTGAAACTATTACTCTTGCTCCTTTAAATTTTTAAGGGGATCATTAAAACATTTTGTATGTATTTAACATTTAAAGACTGTGTATAGTCTTTTTAGATTCATTGCGATTAGTCAGTGCACTGAGACAAGTAGTGTCGGAGATCAGGATTTGAAGAGTTTGAAAAGCAGTTCTTGATGTGTGTCTCTGGGAATGAAATTGTTTATCTTTCATCCTTGATTCTGCTGGCTTGAACTGCCTTGTAGCCAATTTTTTTTCAGTGGAGGTATAATAAAGACTAAATGCTTCTTACCTGAAAGGTGAAGGCTCAAACATATTCTGAGGTTTTTACCAACTGCTTTGAAATTGCTATATATCTCATCGAACAGAGTCCACCCATGAATTGCAAAGGATAAGTTCCGAATCTTGGATTCCCATTGTTTTTGGAAGATAGTTTCCTGTAATATTCCATATTAAAAATAGGAGGGGGGGGGGTGTTATTATTTCTCATTTGGATTGATGAAAGACCATTGCATTGTTTGGAATGAACCAGACAGCTGACCATTCTGCATTAGAAAATGATACTGACAGCTCTTTAGTTAAATAACTTAAAACTTTGGAACTTCCCTGCTCCTGCCCCCCAAGGTTGCAACAGTAAGTATTGGTTTTGCCACTTGAATACTCAGTTGTCTTATTTCAGAAATGCTGTTGTGGAGAGGAAGAGAGAGCTGTTTTTTCACAGACATGTTAGCAATGCTTTTCAGAGGCTCAGCACTTTACTCATGGTGAGTGTGACTCACTGCTCTCTTCCACCCACCATCTATAACCTCTGATAACTTTTCCTTTATATGGTATTTTGGATAAAGCTATCTTAATAAAATCTAAATGCCTATCTGGTTTAGTTACAGGTTACTGTATTATGGATGGAGAATTCTTATTAGAGATACACATCTGCAATTTATTGTATATCTGAAGTCTCGTGAAGTATTACATGGCAGATAAGAATATGGCTGAGCTGTTAAATTGGGTAGAATTCACACACAAATTTCTCAAAGGTCATGTGTATTTAGATCGCAGAATCATAAAATGTTTTGGGTTGGAAGGTCCAGAGTTCTGTTTCAGGGCCACTTGCAATCATAAGCAACTAACTGGAAAATTAGCTGGTCTCTACTGTGTTCAGCTGAACACAGTGACTTAATGGATAGGGGGCAATGGTGACAAGTTCCTGCCTGGAGCAGGCAGCATGTCTCCTCTGTGACTGCCTTCCCAGGTGCCCTTGCATGATAGGTACGAGGCTCTGCAAGTGGAACCAAGGAATAACGAAGATGATTGTTCATCTAGCTTGGAGGTGTCGCCAAGGTTAAGTTGACCTACACCCTGCATCAAAACTGCCTCCATAAAGAAACAAAATGGGTCATTGTTACAGGACACTCTCTTCTGAGGGGAACAGAAGGCCCAATATGCAGACCTGTCCCACTTCTTAAGGAAGCCTGCTGCCTCCCTGGGGCCTGGTTTAAAGATAGGAAGAGGAAGCGTCCTACCCCGGTATGGCCCTCAGATTACTATCCATTACTGATTTTTCAGGCAGGCAGTGATTAAGTTGCAACAAGTAGTCTGAGGGCAATCAGGAGAGACTTCAGGGCCTTGGGACAACTGGTTAAGGGATCAGGAGCACAAGTAGTGTTCTCCTGTATCCTTCTAGTTGCAGGGAATGATGAGGGAAGACAGGAAGAGCCAGCAGATC